TATTGGGTCCAGGTTGGATATAATATCTACCATCAGATTTAGATAATGTTCATCCAATGTTTAACAACATGAACAACAACATGGCGAACCTAGCAGTCCCTCGACCTTGACGTGGCCTACAAACCGGCTATTGGGTCCAGGTTGGATATAATATCTACCATCAGATTTAGATAATGTTCATCCAATGTTTAACAACATGAACAACAACATGGCGAACCTAGCAGTCCCTCGACCTTGACGTGGCCTACAAACCGGCCATTGGCTCCAGGTTGGATATAATATCTACCATCAGATTTAGATAATGTTCATCCAATGTTTAACAACATGAACAACAACATGGCGAACCTAGCAGTCCCTCGACCTTGACGTGGCCTACAAACCGGCCATTGGCTCCAGGTTGGATATAATATCTACCATCAGATTTAGATAATGTTCATCCAATGTTTAACAACATGAACAACAACATGGCGAACCTAGCAGTCCCTCGACCTTGACGTGGCCTACAAACCGGCCATTGGCTCCAGGTTGGATATAATATCTACCATCAGATTTAGATAATGTTCATCCAATGTTTAACAACATGAACAACAACATGGCGAACCTAGCAGTCCCTCGACCTTGACGTGGCCTACAAACCGGCCATTGGCTCCAGGTTGGATATAATATCTACCATCAGATTTAGATAATGTTCATCCAATGTTTAACAACATGAACAACAACATGGCGAACCTAGCAGTCCCTCGACCTTGACGTGGCCTACAAACCGGCTATTGGGTCCAGGTTGGATATAATATCTACCATCAGATTTAGATAATGTTCATCCAATGTTTAACAACATGAACAACAACATGGCGAACCTAGCAGTCCCTCGACCTTGACGTGGCCTACAAACCGGCTATTGGGTCCAGGTTGGATATAATATCTACCATCAGATTTAGATAATGTTCATCCAATGTTTAACAACATGAACAACAACATGGCGAACCTAGCAGTCCCTCGACCTTGACGTGGCCTACAAACCGGCCATTGGCTCCAGGTTGGATATAATATCTACCATCAGATTTAGATAATGTTCATCCAATGTTTAACAACATGAACAACAACATGGCGAACCTAGCAGTCCCTCGACCTTGACGTGGCCTACAAACCGGCCATTGGCTCCAGGTTGGATATAATATCTACCATCAGATTTAGATAATGTTCATCCAATGTTTAACAACATGAACAACAACATGGCGAACCTAGCAGTCCCTCGACCTTGACGTGGCCTACAAACCGGCCATTGGCTCCAGGTTGGATATAATATCTACCATCAGATTTAGATAATGTTCATCCAATGTTTAACAACATGAACAACAACATGGCGAACCTAGCAGTCCCTCGACCTTGACGTGGCCTACAAACCGGCCATTGGCTCCAGGTTGGATATAATATCTACCATCAGATTTAGATAATGTTCATCCAATGTTTAACAACATGAACAACAACATGGCGAACCTAGCAGTCCCTCGACCTTGACGTGGCCTACAAACCGGCTATTGGGTCCAGGTTGGATATAATATCTACCATCAGATTTAGATAATGTTCATCCAATGTTTAACAACATGAACAACAACATGGCGAACCTAGCAGTCCCTCGACCTTGACGTGGCCTACAAACCGGCCATTGGCTCCAGGTTGGATATAATATCTACCATCAGATTTAGATAATGTTCATCCAATGTTTAACAACATGAACAACAACATGGCGAACCTAGCAGTCCCTCGACCTTGACGTGGCCTACAAACCGGCTATTGGGTCCAGGTTGGATATAATATCTACCATCAGATTTAGATAATGTTCATCCAATGTTTAACAACATGAACAACAACATGGCGAACCTAGCAGTCCCTCGACCTTGACGTGGCCTACAAACCGGCCATTGGGTCCAGGTTGGATATAATATCTACCATCAGATTTAGATAATGTTCATCCAATGTTTAACAACATGAACAACAACATGGCGAACCTAGCAGTCCCTCGACCTTGACGTGGCCTACAAACCGGCTATTGGGTCCAGGTTGGATATAATATCTACCATCAGATTTAGATAATGTTCATCCAATGTTTAACAACATGAACAACAACATGGCGAACCTAGCAGTCCCTCGACCTTGACGTGGCCTACAAACCGGCCATTGGGTCCAGGTTGGATATAATATCTACCATCAGATTTAGATAATGTTCATCCAATGTTTAACAACATGAACAACAACATGGCGAACCTAGCAGTCCCTCGACCTTGACGTGGCCTACAAACCGGCCATTGGGTCCAGGTTGGATATAATATCTACCATCAGATTTAGATAATGTTCATCCAATGTTTAACAACATGAACAACAACATGGCGAACCTAGCAGTCCCTCGACCTTGACGTGGCCTACAAACCGGCCATTGGGTCCAGGTTGGATATAATATCTACCATCAGATTTAGATAATGTTCATCCAATGTTTAACAACATGAACAACAACATGGCGAACCTAGCAGTCCCTCGACCTTGACGTGGCCTACAAACCGGCCATTGGGTCCAGGTTGGATATAATATCTACCATCAGATTTAGATAAACAGAATTTGTAGAACTAGTTATATAATCAAACAATCATGAAACAACGCTGTAGAACTAAAAATAGGGAATTGTTTGCCCTGACGGTATATGGATCGCTCTTGGCCAGGAAAAATATAATTTCATCCACATTATTATTTTTTAAATCAACAGAAAAAGTACGAATTCAGAGAATTTAAAAATATTCATCCAATGTTTAACAACAACAACATGGCGAACCTAGCAAGCTAGGAACGAGGGGACGACCTCTTTTTCTTTTGCGGTGCGACCACGGTTCTTTCGGTATAGTACAGATTTCTCCGCAGCATAGTCGGGACGTAACTCCACTTCCAGGCATATATATATAATATGCAGTCGTGTTATTCTCACAGCTGTGTTAATTTCAATGAGACTCATTGAGAGCCACTATCATTCACACCATGGTTTGGTGAGTGATGCTAAAACTATGGTCGATGGTGGTATATTAAAGATTTTAATATGACCCAAGCGCAGCCCATTACACTTACAGTAAAACTGCGACTTACTGTGAATATCAATTAACTATTAACTATTGGTATTTAGAAAATTATTAATTAGAATATTTGCCCCAGACGAGTGAAGGATAACGCAGTGATAGCCCACTGTGCCGGGATCTGCGCTTATGGAGTCAAACTAGAGGCTGTTCTTAAGGAAATAACACAGTAAGTTGAATTGTAGTTCTTTTATTATTACTATTAGTATTTAGTGGCTCAGTGGCTCAGTCGGTTAATCCGCCTGTCTACTGGCCTGGAGGTTGCGAGTTCGAATCCCAGTTGGCCCAAAATCTCAAAAACTGAAGGGCAGCCGTCACTCACCAAACCATGGTGTAAATGGTAGTGGCTTATGGTAGAGCTGCGAAAATAACACGAGTGTATTTGCCTGGGGTTGTTTTCCGACTATACTGCAGGGAAATCTGTACCGAAAGTACCGTGGCCGAAATGCAATTAGACAGGGAAATCTGCTCCTCCACTGCGGTCGACCAAATTATTATTATTATTAGTATTAGTATTAGTACGTCCCAGTATGTAGTTGGTGCTTTTTAAAATTTTTGATAAATTAGAGCTCGTATTAAGTTGTTGATGGAAAAGTAGCCAAAATAATATTCTCTACAACAACTCACTGTATATCTAATTTGTTGTCGATCATTCATTTGCAAATCATCGCCATTTCATCAGTGATATCCATCATCCAATGTCCAAAGCTCTCATTTGTCATAATACGTGCCTAAATTCATTGTTTTTAAGACAATCCATCACAGAACATCTGAATCTTTCTCAAAATCTTTAAAAAGTGTTCAGTCTAGTCGTAGCTTAATTTTCAATTGACATATTACTAGGAGAATTCAGAACTGTTGTCTCATGCGTTATACCATTATCAATTATAACTATGAACACTATCAGCCTGGGGTCCCCATGTAATCCAGAGACGGTAACTTTTACATCATACGGTAACTCTTTACATAATAAACTGGCCTGGGTTTATTGGAGAGTATGAGGACACGATAGCCGGGTACAAGGCCAACCTAATCAGTAGAAAGCTTAACAAAACGAAGAGTTTTATTTTCAAAAGTCTGTCCCATTTTCAGATATGAAAATTTCTGAACACACATTTGACAGATTGGATGACATTTTTGCCCACAAACCGATTAGTCAGTTAATTGATGATGGTATGATATCAAATTGGAGTACTGAAAGTCAAAATCTTTCGGTATAGTGTCGAGAAAACTCTGACGAAGACAAATGGTGAAGGTTTTTTAAATCGGTCCTTAGTAATTTGTTCAATTGATGGTTTTGTACCACAAATGTTACATAAAATGGCTTGAGCAGCTTAATAAAGAAAACAGTAAGAGTTAGGGGGCTCGCTCTTTCTCCCCTTACTGCATATTATGTAGCGTTGGAACATATATCATAATTACACTGTCATGAATACTATAATCTTATTAGGGAAGGAATCGCTCAAAGCGGTCTGTTTGGACTGTAGATAAAGTTCATACTTTCATACGACAATGTAATCATGTTTTCATATATGCGGGTGTTGTGCCGTGTGCGGAGTTAACAAGGGTTAATTTCTATTGATTATAATTGTTTAAGATACTATTGTTTAAGATACTATTGGATACGTGAGGGCACTCCGAATAGAATTGCTCACCTAATGCGGGTTTTGACTCAGCGGGTAAACAACCCTACCCTTTTTAACTCCGGCAGTGAAATCCTGGCCGAATGCCGGGTTACACTAGTTTACTATATTATAGCTATGTGTAAAACTGATTACGTAGGGGGAGGGGGTTAAAAATTGAATACTTAATATGTGAGCGACTCCCTATCTGATCTAGGTAAGGATGGTAATTTAATTATATATTAATCCTAATTTACATAAATTTGTTCCAATTTTCTCAATTTTCCCAATGTTTCACTCTCGGAAGACTGGATACAGAATCAATTAGGCAATAGTCCATATTCAAGGCATGGATAATGCCAGCTTTCTCAAGAATTGTTATTAGCTGGTTATAGCTTGCATTTTTCTTCAAACGTTTAGTAGCCACCCAGCGTGGAGTGGCTCGGGCAACATATATAACTCAACGCCACTGGACAGGGGCCGGGACGGTAGTTATGTGTCCCATATCCAAACACCTTGCCTAAACATCTAGTTATCTGATTCTGGACCGGCAAGGTTACTCTCTAAACCAAAACTACATTTAATTGAAACAATAGTGTATGATATTGAAATTGAAATTGAAATATGAAGAAGGTTAGGTGAAGCATTTTGTAGTTGCTCGAAAACTTAATAAACTAAAAATACTAACGTATAAAGTATTACACTAAATTTTAATAACATTAATATAGATTTTGTAATATTCCCTGATTATTGATTATAATTACTTAACGTTATAAAACCAGACAGTTTTAATTTATACTTTGTCTCAAATCCCCCCAATATACATTGTAAAACTAAAACTACTAGGATTTATTAGACCCTTTAAGTCAGCATTGTGCTAATTGAACGAGAAACATCGTCCTCTTCCCATCATAACATATCACATACATTTTGATTTACACCCAATGGTCGCTGAACTGGCAGGAAATATGAGAGGGGGAAGGAAATGTTGTAGAGTATAAGGTAAGTGGGACAGTGGGAGCAGGTGTGAAAACAGATTCACCAGGTGAGAAGGTGAGAGGATCTGCAGGGTGAGGCTCGTGAGATTCAGGTAGGTGACTGGAAAAGGAACTGGGAGGTAAGCTGGAACTGGAAAGATAGGGGTCATAGAAGTTCAGAGGCTTTACAAATGTGAGTGGCTTCACGAAAGGTAGAGGCTTAACAAAAATGGGTCCTCCAACACAACCGGTATGATTCATTTGATGTTTACTTAGATCTGATTTTCGGATTGAACTGTAGGAACATTCAGAGCATTTAAACGGTTTTTCACCGGTATGAGTCCTCTGATGTTTAACTAGGTTTTGTTTTATGCTTGCACTGTAGGAACATTCAGAGCATTTATACGGTTTTTCACCGGTATGAGTCCTCTGATGTATAACTAGGTTTTGTTTTATGCTTGCACTGTAGGAACATTCGCAGCAATTATACGGTTTTTCACCGGTATGAGTCCTCTGATGTTTAACTAGATTTTGTTTTAAGCTTGCACTGTAGGAACATTCAGAGCATTTATACGGTTTTTCACCGGTATGAGTCCTCTGATGTTTAACTAGGGTTTGTTTTAAGCTTGCACTGTAGGAACATTCGGAACATTTAAACGGTTTTTCACCGGTATGAGTCATCTGATGTCCAACTAGGGTTGATTTCCGGCCAGTACTAAAGGAACATTCGGAGCATTTGTACGGTTTTTCACCGGTATGAGTCATCTGATGTCCAACCAGGCTTGATTCCCAGCGAGTACTAAAGGAGCATTCAGAGCATTTATACGGTTTTTCACCGGTATGAGTCCTCTGATGTTTAACTAGGTTTTGTTTTAAGCTTGAACTGTAGGAACATTCGGAGCATTTATACGGTTTTTCACCGGTATGAGTCCTCTGATGTTTAACTAGGTTTTGTTTTAAGCTTGCATTGTAGGAACATTCGGAGCATTTATACAGTTTTTCACCGGTATGAGTCCTCTGATGTTTAACTAGGTTTTGTTTTAAGCTTGAACTGTAAGAACATTCAGAGCATTTATACGGTTTTTCATCGGTATGAGTCCTCTGATGTTTAACTAGGTTTTGTTTTAAGCTTGCACTGTAGGAACATTCGGAGCATTTATACGGTTTTTCATCGGTATGAGTCCGTTGATGTGAAACTAAAGCTGTTTTTTTGCTTGCATTGTAGGAACATTCAGAGCGAATGTAAGCATTTTCATTGGGATGAACCCACTGGTAGCGAAGCAATTCTGATTCCTGGTTGGGACAATCCAACTGAGATACTGCATTTGAATACACTTCTGATTTAACAAGAAAATTATCTTCCTCCTTCTTAATCTCTGTCTTGATCAATTCCGGTGAAATACTTTCTTCTTCCATTTCATTTTTAAACTCTGGAACATTTTGCTGCTCCATTTTACTAAAAAGTTAACGACCGTACGAAGTTTCCGCTTAACAATCATCACTAGAAAACAAAATTAATACAAGTTCGAGATCTAAATTTCAGTGTAAATATTTGAAGAGCTTTTCGCTTTGGTTACATCAGGAAGAAACAAGCTTTTAAAAAGTGTTGGTAGTAACCCAGAAAATTGAAAACAAGCGAATATGGTTATCAAATTTGAAACAGGTTTAACTTAATGTTAATAAGGTATTCGGATGCTGATATTATATAGCCACGTAAAGCTATTAAACTACGAAACTTAATCTTCTAAACATTTATTAGAAGAGATCTCAAAACTGAAGCTTCAGTATAACTGTTAGTTTGAGCTTTGCTTCCCACAATACGTTTAAGATAATGGCAGCTCATGTTACCAGGGCAGCTCATGTTACCAGGGCAGCTCATGTTACCAAGGTAACACCTGTTACCAAGGTGACACACGTTAACACGTGATGTGATAACAGGGTCATAGTATAAGTGACCGACTGCGTAGCTGTGTAAGTGTGTAATTATGTAGTTAACTGTTATAATATTGTAATCACGTATTGTTAAGTGTTGCTAAGTGTTGCTAAGTGTTGCTAAGTGTTGCTAAGTGTTGCTAAGTGTTGCTAAGTGTTGCTAAGTATTGCTAAGTGTTGCTAAGTGTTGCTAAGTGAGACCTTTACCGATTGTTGAAATTCGACATCTACAGTTTTGGCCGAATTTCTGACCCGCAACCAATAAATTAGTCAACTATAAATGGAAAATGATACGATTGAGATGCTGGAAGTTTGATTCGGGTCGGAGGACGCTCAAAGCAGAAATCTCAACAAAACGAAAAGTTGTATTTTGAAAACTCTGTCCTATTTTCATTTATGAAAATTTCTGAACACACATTTGACAGATTGGATGAACTTTTAGCCCACAAACTAATTAGTCATACTGTCCCATACTTTTTTTCATTTTAAGTTTTTGAAGCTGAAATTTCCAGGGCCGATATTTTACAGTTTTGACTGAATCTCTTACCTGCAAGTGGCAACTAATTAGTCAATTAAATAAAGATGGCATATGACATGATTGAGGTACTGGAAGTTTGATTTCGAACGGAAGAAGCTCACAGCAGAAAGCTTAACAAAATGAAAGTTTCTGAACACACATTAGACAGATTGGATGACACTTTTGCCCACAAACCAATTAGTCAGTTAATTGATGATGGTATGAAACCAAATTGAGGTACTAGAAGTCAAAATCTCGAAACAAAATGGAAAATCATACTGTCCCATATTCTGTCCCAGTTTTTGAAAATGAAATTTCCAGGACGGACAATTTACAGTTTTGGCTGATTTTTTCACCCACAACCAATTATTAATCCAACTATAAATGGTATATGACACGATTGAGGTGCTGATAGTTTGATTCGAGTCAGAGGAAGCTCACAGTAGAAATCTTAACAAAACGAAAAGTTGTATTTTCAAAACTCTGATTCAAGGCATGGATAATGCCAGCTTTCTCAAGAAATGTTATTAGGTCCAATAAACGTTAGTAGCCACCCAGCGTGGAGTGGCTCGGGCAACATATATAACTTTACGCCACTGGACAGGGCCGGGACGGTAGTTATGTGTGTCCCATATCCAAACACCTTGCCTAAACATCCAGTTATCTGATCATGGGCAGGCAAGGTTACTCTCTAAACCAAAACTACATTTAAATGAAACAATAGTGTATGATATTGAAATTGAAATATGAAGAAGGTTAGGTAAAGCATTTTGTAGTTGCTCGAAAACTTAATAAACTAAAAATACTAACGTATAAAATATTATACTAAATTCTAATAATATTAATATAGATTTTGTAATATTCCCTGATTATTGATTATAATTACTTAACTCATAAAACCAGACAGTTATAATTTAAACTTTATCACATATCCCCCAATATACATTGTAATAGTAAAACAACTAGGATGTATTAGACCCTTGCATGTTCCTATAAACGTTTAGTAGCCATCCAGCGTGGAGTGGCTCGGGCAACATATATAACATTACGCCACTGGACAGGGCCGGGACGGTAGTTTACCTCCACTGCATTTATAGTTATACAATAAATTCTACAATCATAATTTTGTATCGTGATGGAGACCAGTGTCCATACAAAACATTTACTAGGTTGCCGTCTGGTGTGAGCAATTTAGCAAACAGCACGCACACTCCTTTGCCCCGTCAACCTATATCTAATCTATTTAAAGAGTGACAACCATACTACACATTGAATTAGGATTCCTTTAAATATCAAATTGATTTATTGTAAACTTGTTTACTCTGTAATAAATGGCATAAAATTGAAATTGTTGTTTACCTGACAATTTGTGTTTAACCGAGTTAAGTATGTCCCATATCCAAACAACTTGCCTAAACATCCAGTTATCTGATCCTGAACAGGTAAGTTTACTCTCTAAACCAAAATTAAATTTAAAAGACACTAAATAATAGTGTATGATATTGAAATTGAAATACAAAGAAGGTTAAATAAAGCATTTTATAGTTGCTCGAAAACTTTTAATAAACTAAAAATACTAACGTATAAAAGTATAAAGTATTATACTAAATTGTGATAGCATTAATATAGATTTTGTGATATTCCCTGATTATTGATTATAATTACTTAATTTTATAAAACCAGACAGTTTTAATTTATACTTTGTCACAAATCCCCCCAATATACATTGTAAAAGTAAAACTACTAGGATTTATTAGACCCTTTAAGACAGCATTGTGCTAATTTATATTTGATTTGGACGAGAAAATTCGTCCTCTTCCCATCATAACATATTACATACATTTTGATTTACGCCCCATGGTCGCTGAACTGGCAGGAAATATGAGCTAAGGGGAAGGAAATGTTGTAGAGTATAAGGTAGGTGGGACAGTGGGAGCAGGTGTGAAAACAGATTCACCAGGTGAGAAGTTGAGAGGATCTGCACGGTGAGGCTTGTGAGATTCTGGTTGGTTACTGGAGAAGGAACTGGAAGGTAAGCTGGAACTAAAATGATGGGCGTCATCGAAGATCAGAGGCTTTACAAATGTGAGTGGCTTCACGAAAGGTAGAGGCTTAACAAAAATGGGTCCTCCAACACTACCTTTTTGAAAGAAAGTCGAATTTTGTATTAAACTGTAGGAACTTTCAGACCATTTATACGGTTTTTCACCGGTATGAGTCCTCTGATGTTTACTTAGGTCTGATTTTCGGATTGAACTGTAAGAACATTCGGAGCATTTATACGGTTTTTCACCGGTATGATTCATCTGATGTCTACTTAGTTGTGATTTTCGGATTGAACTGTAGGAACATTCGGAGCATTTATACGGTTTTTCACCGGTATGAGTCATTTGATGGTTACTTAGGTCTGATTTTCGGATTGAACTGTAGGAACATTCGGAGCATTTATATGATTTTTCACCGGTATGAGTCATATGATGTTTACTTAGGTCTGATTTTCGGATTGAACTGTAGGAACATTCGGAGCATTTAAACGGTTTTTTACCGGTATGAGTCATCTGATGTCCAACCAGGCTTGATTCCCACCCAGTACTAAAGGAACATTCAGAGCATTTGTACGGTTTTTCACCGGTATGAGTCCGCTGATGTTTAACTAGGTTTTGTTTTAAGCTTGCACTGTAGGAACATTCGGAGCATTTAAACGGTTTTTCACCGGTATGAGTCCTCTGATGTTTAACTAGGTTTGATTTCCGGCCAGTACTAAAGGAACATTCGGAGCATTTGTACGGTTTTTCACCGGTATGCGTCATATGATGGCTGACTAGGTTTGGTTTTTGGCTTGAACTGTAGGAACATTCGGAGCATTTGTATTGTTTTTCACCGGTATGAGTCATCTGATGGCGAACTAAGTTTTGTTTTACGCTTGCACTGTAAGAACATTCAGAGCATTTATACGGTTTTTCATCGGTATGAGTCCGTTGATGTGAAACTAAAGCTGTTTTTTTGCTTGCATTGTAGGAACATTCAGAGCGAATGTAAGCATTTTCATTAGGATGAACCCACTGGTAGCGAAGCAATGCTGATTCTTGGTTGGGACAATCCAACTGAGACACTGCATTTGAATACACTTCTGATTTAACAAGAAAATTCTCTTCCTCCTTCTTAATCTCTGTCTTGATCAATTCTGGTGAAATACTTTCTTCTTCCATCTTCATCTCATTTTTAAAGTCTGGAACATTTTGCTGCTCCATTTTACTAAAAAGTTAACGACCGTACAGGATTTTCCGCTTAACAGTCGTCACTAGAAAACAAAATTAATACAAGTTCGAGATCTAAATTTCAGTGTAATTATTTGAAGAGCTTTTCGCTTTGGTTACATCAGGAAGAAACAAGCTTTTAAAAGTGTTGGTAGTAACCCAGAAAATTGAAAACAAGCGAATATGGTAATTTAATTTGAAACAGGTCCAACTTATTGTTATTGAGGTATTCGGATGCTGATATTATAAAGCCACAAAAAAGCTATTAAACTACGAAACTTAATCTTCTAAACATTTATTAGAAGTGATCTCAAAACTGAAGCTTCAGTATAATACTGTTAGTTTGAGCTTCACTTCCCACAATACGTTTAAGATAATGGCAGCTCATGTTACCAAGGCAGCTCATGTTACCAAGGTAGCACATGTCAACACGTTATGTGATAACAGGGTCATAGTATAAGTAACCGACTGTGTATCTGTGTGTAAGTGTGTAATTATGTAGTTAACTGTTATAATATTGTAATCACGTGTTGCTAAGTGTTGCTAAGTGTTGCTAAGTGTTGCTAAGTATTGCTAAGTATTGCTAAGTGTTGCTAAGTGTTGCTAAGTGAGACCTTTACCGATTGTTGAAATTCGACATCTACAGTTTTGGCCGAATTTCAGACCCGCAACCAATTAGTCAGTCAACTATAGATGCCAAATGACACGATCGAGGTGCTGGAAGTTTGATTCGGGTCGGAGGAAGCTCACAGCAGAAATCTTAACAAAACGAAAAGTTGTATTTTCAAAACCCTGTCCCATTTTCAGATATGAAAATTTCTGAACACACATTTGACAAATTGGATGAAAATTTTGCCCACAAAACGATTAGTCAGTTAATTGATGATGGTATGAAACCAAATTGGGGTACTGGAAGTCAAAATCTCGAAAAAAATTCGAAAATCATACTATCCCATACTCTGTCCCATTTTCAGTTTTTGAAGCTGAAATTTCCAGGGCCAAAATTTTACAGTTTCGGCCGAATTTCTGACCCGCAACCAATTAGTCAGTCAACTATAAATGGAAAATGACACGATTGAGGTGCTGAAAGTTTGATTCGGGTCAGAGGAAGCTCACAGCAGAAATCTTATCAAAACGAAAAGTTGTATTTTCAAAGCTATGTCCCATTTTCAAATATGAAAATTTCTTAACACACATTTGACAGATTTGATGACATTTTTGCCCACAAACCAATTAGTCAGTTAATTGATGATGGTATGAAACCAATTTGGGGTACTGGAAGTCAAAATCTCAAAAAAATGGAAAATCATACTGTCCCATACTCTGTCCCATTTTCAGTTTTTGAAGCTGAAATTTCCAGGGCCAAAATTTTACAGTTTCGGCCGAATTTCTGACCCGCAACCAATTAGTCAGTCAACTATAAATGGAAAATGACACGATTGAGGTGCTGAAAGTTTGATTCGGGTCAGAGGAAGCTCACAGCAGAAATCTTATCAAAACGAAAAGTTGTATTTTCAAAGCTATGTCCCATTTTCAAATATGAAAATTTCTTAACACACATTTGACAGATTTGATGACATTTTTGCCCACAAACCAATTAGTCAGTTAATTGATGATGGTATGAAACCAATTTGGGGTACTGGAAGTCAAAATCTCAAAAAAATGGAAATTCATACTGTCCCAATATACTCTGTCCCATTTTCAGTTTTTGAAGCTGAAATTTCCAGGGCCGAAATTTTACCGTTTTGGCCGAATTTCTGACCTACAACCAATCAGTCAGTCAACTATAGATGCCACATGACGAATTGATTTATTGTAAACTTGTTTACTCTGTAATAAATGGCATAAAATTGAAATTGTTGTTTAACTGACAATTTTTGTTTAACCGAGTTATGTGTGTCCCATATCCAAACAACTTGCCTAAACATCCAGTTATCTGATCCTGAACAGGTAAGTTTACTCTCTAAACCAAAATTAAATTTAAAAGAAACTAAATAATAGTGTATGATATTGAAATTGAAATACAGAGAAGGTTAAGTAAAGCATTTTGTAGTTGCTCGAAAACTTTTAATAAACTAAAAATATTAACGTATAAAACTATAAAGTATTATACTAAATTGTGATAGCATTAATATAGATTTTGTAATATTCCCTGATTATTGATTATAATCACTTAATTTTATAAAACCAGACAGTTTTAATTTATACTTTGTCACAAATCCCCCCAATATACATTGTAATAGTAAAACTACTAGGATTTATTAGACCCTTTAAATCAGCATTGTGCTAATTGATATTTGATTTGGACGATAAACGTCGTCCTCTTCCAATCATAACATATTACATACATTTTGATTTACGCCCGATGTTCGCTGAACTGGCAGGAAATATGAGAGGGGGAAGGAAATAATGTAGAGTATAAGGTAGGTGGGACAGTTGGAGCAGGTGTGAAAACAGATTCACCAGGTGAGAAGGTGAGAGGATCTGCAGGGTAAGGCTTGTGAGATTCTGGTTGGTGACTGGAGAAGGAACTGGGAGGTAAGCTGGAACTGGAAAGATAGGGGTCATAGAAGTTCAGAGGCTTTACAAATGTGAGTGGCTTCACGAAAGGTAGAGGCTTAACAAAAATGGGTCCTCCAACACAACCGGTATGAGTCATTTGATGTTTACTTAGGTCTGATTTTCGGATTGAACTGTAGGAACATTTGGAGCATTTATACGGTTTTACATCGGTATGATTCATCTGATGTTTAATTAGAACTGATTTTCGGCTTGAACTGTAGGAACATTCGGAGCATTTATACGGTTTTTCACCGGTATGAGTCATTTGATGATTACAGATAAATCTTTGTTGTCAGGGTCGATCATCGTACAAGGGAAACTCTCATTTGTGTATTAAAAACCCCTATAATGATATAAAATTAAAATCAATATAGTAATCAATATATTATAAGCAATCAATATATAACTTCTCCCCTTTTTAAAACAGGAAAATCGGTCATTTATAAACACTGGCACGGGTCTTGCGCGGCTTTTAAAATTATCAGGAAAATGCGCGCACTTGCACTGGCGCTATAAAAAATCTAAATTCGGCGTTCACGCCCTACGTACAGATTCAAAACGTTCATATCTCGAAGATTGAAAAACATAACCAATTATTTGTTCTGCACAATATAAAAACTTAAAAATACTTTTATTCTGTTTGATAAAATAAGCTTCAAGCTTCGGGTTAGTCAAAACAATTTCCCGTCTCATTTTAATAAGTTAAACAATTCTCATTTTAATAAGTTAAACAATTCTCACCTAAAGTGGTGAATACTACTCACGATAAATTTAATTACCTCCAAGTTTAAAGTAGTTATATCTTTCAACATTGGTCTTCAGCCGGTTTGAGACACGTGTAGATTTTGCAGTATTGGATTTAGCTCCAATCATACTGTCACTGGGATTTTGCCTAATAAGCTCAATAACAGGCTGCTTAGCTACAAGTTTAGGCCTCTTTAAGCTCAAGTCAATAGTCGGCTGCGGTATGTTACTGGTTTTAGGCTCAGGATTATTAATTATAGGTACCGCTTGGTCAGGCTCTGGTTCAAAAGCACTGGGTTTATGCCAAGGCACGTGTGTATTCTCATGTTCACACGGTTCTACTGAATCAGGCCAGTCACCAAGATCGACTGCACGGACTAAATGATCCACATGCCTGCGTTCTACATTACCAGACAGGGATTTGACCAAGTAAACTTTACAACCTTCCTTGCCTATAATATTACCTTTATACCACTGGTCTGTCCTCACGTTGTATATCCTCACTCTCTCTCCGATCTGGAATGTTCTTAGCGTCTTTTCTTCACCATTTTTCAGATATCTATCCAGATTATCAGGTCTGTTGGTTAACGGATCCAACAGTGAAAGTAGAGTTCTCGTGGGTCTGTTGAACATCATCATTGCTGGTGATTTCTTCGTTACAGAATTTGGTGTGTTTCTGTAGTGTAGTAACCAGTTTGCGAGATTCTTTTCGTAATTTTCATTTCTTCTTCCAGCTTTCTCCATTGCTCTCTTGAAAGTCTGCACTGCTCTTTCCGCTATGCCGTTCGTATTTGGAGAATAAGTCGGTACTAATACAGGTTGAATACCGTTACTTTTCAGGAAGTTAACGATCTCTTCACTCTTTAACTGTTGTGCATTATCAGAACACAATATAACTGGTAAACCATGTATTGCGAACAACTTTCTCAACTCTCTGATTGTAGATGATGAAGTAGTACTGGACTTCATGTTAATCACCTCAATCCATTTCGTATACACGTCGACAACCACTAACCACATTACACCGTGAACAGGTCCACAAAAGTCCACGTGTATGCGTTCCCAAGGTCTCGTTGCTGGTTTCCAAGGATGGGGCTTTGACTTGTTTGGAAGATTCTGACTGTCTTGACATGCTCCACATTTCTTTGTCATCTTCTCAATGTCATCGTTTATGCGTGGCCACCACACATACGAGCGAGCTAGAGCTTTCACTGCCACAACTCCTTGATGTGCTAGATGCAGCAACTCTAGAACTTCTTCTCTGAGCTTTTCTGGTACTATGATCCGGCTACCCCATAGCACACATCCTTGTTCTGTCGACAATTCAGTCCGTCTCTCGAAGTATGGTCTAATATCCTCCTGATATTTAGTTAACCTGCTAGGCCAACCCTCTAACACAAACTTCATAACCTTGCTAAGTACGCTATCTAACCTAGTTAACCTGCTAACTGAGTTAAAGTTAATAATGGGAGTCTCGGCAAACGTGTTGAAAAACACATCAGCCACGTCAGTGTCGTCGTCCTCTACGATCTTCAGCGGATATCTGGAACACACATCAGCGTTGGAGTGCTCCTCAGTTGGTCTGTACTGTATCTTGTACTGGTAACATGCGAGAGTATGAGCCCATCGTACTAGTCTGCTCGCAGCCATCTCGGGTATCGCTTTGTTCTCCTTAAGAATATACACCAGGGGTTTATGGTCCGTCACAAGTGTAAATCGTCTTGCATACACAAATCTGTGGAACTTGGTAACACCCCATACAAGACTTAGAGCTTCTTTCTCGATTTGGGAATAATTCCTTTCTGCTTTAGACAACGTTCGAGACACAAACTCAATCGGCCTCTCCGTTCCATCTTCGAAAACATGCGATATAACTGCACCCAAACCAGTTTTGGACGCATCAGTATCTATCTTAACAGCCAACTTTGGATCATAAGGAATCACTACAGCACTTGAAACTAGTGCCTTCTTCAAAGCGTCAAAAGCTTGTTTCTCCTCTTTTTCAAATGTCCAAGGTACTCCACGTCTCAGCTTGTTTAATGGTTCCACTATCGTCGAAAGATTCTTGATGAACCGTCCGTAGTATTGACACGCTGACAGGAATGATATAAGAGCGGGTAACGATTCTGGGTACTCAGCTTTCATCAGTGTCTCTACCTTATCTACACTGGGTCGTATTCCTTCTGCTGAGATCAAATAGCCTAGGTATTTCACTTCGTCTTTCAGGAATTCACTTTTCTTCAAGTTGCATCTGAAGTTTGCGACTTCTAGCCGTTTTATAACTTCCTCTAGATTATCCAGGTGTTCCTCTTCGGTTTGTCCGGTCACTAGTATATCGTCTACACGACACACGGTACTTTTGCACCCTCTCAGTACACTATCCATAGTTTGCTGAAAGATGGCGGTGGCAGACGATACACCGTATGGCAACCGATTCCATACCAATAAACCTTTCGTCGTGTTTATCGTGGTCAGCTTCTTGTCTGCCTCTCTCAATGCAAGATGATTATAAGCTTGTCTGATGTCCAGTTTCGAAAACTGCTTTCCTCCCCTCATAGGGTGGAAACACTCGTCAACAGTAGGCAGTGGATACTGTTTAGTCTCGAGGTTTATGTTCAGAGTACTCTTGTAGTCTCCGCAGATCCGAACTGTGGAATCAGGTTTTAGAACTGGCACAATCGGTGAAGCGAACTGACTGTGATCAACTGGAGTCAGAATCTTGTCTGCAACCATCTGGTCAATCGTCTCCTCGATGCGTTCCTTCAGAGCGTACGGAACAGTCCTTGCTTTCCGGAACACAGGTTTGAAGTTTTCTTTCAGTTGTAGCTGAGCCTCGTACCCAACCACTTCTCCAATACCAGGTTCAAACACTTTGCTCTGTCTCAGCTTAGCTAACCGAGCTTCACGCGACTTCTCGTCTGTAGAGAAACTGTCGCTCACTGTCTTGTCATTGGTCACGGTCTGTCTTATAGCACCCTCCTGGTCTAACCTATACAGATACTCACCGTGGTCGTCATGATCTCCGTCTGTCACGTCACCTGGAACAACTGATGCACAACCTGGTACGGATACCTTGTTATATCCCTCTGTACCTTTGCCTGCTAACTTATCCTTAACAGCTAGCCTGGTGCAAGAAAACGTGTCCTGACTTAACAGTTTACTTGACCAATCCTGTCCCCAGATCAACGCGATCCAGTCACGGCCTAACAACGCAGGAAATGGATCTGAAGCCACATACAGTCTCACCTGGTGATGTCTGATCTGCCCATAGCGCATGTCTACATCACACATTTGTACTTTATCAATAGTCGACCCATTAGCGACTTTCAAAATCTGTCTCGTCGGCTTCAGTACCAAATCTGGAAATAATTTTGTAAATAACGATTCACTGATACATGTCAGTGCTGATCCTGTATCAAGTTCTAACTTTAAACATTTAGATTGAACATGTACGTTTACAAATACTTTCTCGCTACTGCTAGATACTTTATTCACAGCGATATAGTTCAAAGATTGAGTTTCACATATGCAATCACTACTTTCATCGACATTTACAGAATTCTGGTTAAAATCTCTTCCTAAATTTCTACATTGAGTCCGGGTGTGTCCCAACTTCTTACAGTGGAAACAGCTAGTCTTGCACTGCTTTTCAGTACAATGGTTGGATTTGACATTCAACTTACACCTAGCACATACCTTTTTTTCGATACTTTTCTTACCACCCTGTGTAGACTCTCCAGATCTGAACTGAGCTCTAGCTCCCGTCGAAGATGAAGATGAGGGGTATCTTCTTGTTTGGTTCACCTTGTGAACCTCTGCTCTGTTTGTCGTACCTTTCTTGAACACGTGGCTATCCTTTTGGGCTCGTTCCCTCGCCTCTGCTTTGCTGAAGGCGTTCTTCAACGTAACAGTTTCCAGTTCCAGCAGCTTTATTCTCGTCTCGTTACAAGCCAGACCAAATATAAACTGATCCCTCACCGCTTGTTCGTAGTGTGCTCCATAGCCACACTTAGCTGCATGAAACCTTAACAAGGCCTCCCAGTCGCTTACTGAAAGTGTCCCCTGTTGTAATCTGGAAAATGTGTATCTCTGAGATAACACTGTAGGCTCCGGATCCACATTGTTAAGTAACAGTTCCTTAAGAGTATTGTACGGTTCTTCGATTGGCAGGTTGGGCGCACACAGCATTTTCAGCCGCTCATAACCCTCTGGTCCAATCCACTTGATGAGTTTAACAGCTTTCCACTTTTCATTTGAGTTTTCATCATCTAGATCCATGAATACCACTTCTAAACGTTCGAACCATGATCTGAGTTTACTACTTTCTGACCATTGTCCAACCGGGTTACCATGATCTGATTGCATTCTCCTCCTTGGAGTTAAAGTTGACTCAATAACTGGTGGTTGTTGTGATGACGATGATTTCTCCTTATCCTCGTCGCCAGATAAATCTTTGTTGTCAGGGTCGATCATCGTACAAGGGAAACTCTCATTTGTGTATTAAAAACCCCTATAATGATATAAAATTAAAATCAATATAGTAATCAATATATTATAAGCAATCAATATATAACTATTACTTAGGTCTGATTTTCGGATTGAACTGTAGGAACATTCGGAGCAATTATACGGTTTTTCACCGGTATGAGTCATTTGATGTCGAACCAGGGTTGTTTTCCAGCCAGTACTAAAGGAACATTCGGAGCATTTATATGGTTTTTCACCGGTATGAGTCATCTGATGTTTACTTAGGTCTGATTTTCGAATTGAACTGTAGGAACATTCGGAGCATTTATATGATTTTTCACCGGTATGAGTCATCTGATGGCGAACTAAGTTTTGTTTTAAGCTTGCACTGTAGGAACATTCAGAGCATTTATATGGTTTTTCACTGGTATGAGTCATCTGATGTCCAACCAGGCTTGATTCCCACCCAGTACTAAAGGAACATTCAGAGCATTTGTACGGTTTTTCACCGGTATGAGTCCTCTGATGTTTAACTAGGTTTTGTTTTAAGCTTGCACTGTAGGAACATTCAGAGCATTTATACGGTTTTTCACCGGTATGAGTCCTCTGATGTTTAACTAGGTTTGATTTTCGGATTGAACTGTAGGAACATTCGGAGCATTTATACGGTTTTTCACCGGTATGAGTCCTCTGATGTTTAACTAGGTATGATTTTCGGATTGAACTGTAGGAACATTCAGAGCATTTATACGGTTTTTCACCGGTATGAGTCATCTGATGGCGAACTAAGTTTTGTTTTACGCTTGCACTGTAAGAACATTCAGAGCATTTATACGGTTTTTCATCGGTATGAGTCCGTTGATGTGAACCTAAAGCTGTTTTTTTGCTTTCATTGTAGATAAATTCAGAGCGAATGTAAGCATTTTCATTAGGATGAACCCACTGGTAGCGAAGCAATTCTGATTCCTGGTTGGGACAATCCAACTGAGAAACTGCATTTGAATACACTTCTGATTTAATAAGAAAATTATCTTCCTCCTTCTCAATCTCTGCCTTGATCAATTCCGGTGAAATACTTTCTTCTTCCAACTTCATCTCATCTTTAAAGTCTGGAACATTTTGCTGCTCCATTTTACTAAAAAGTTAACGACCTAACAGGATTTTCCGCTTAACAATCGTCATTAGAAAACAAAGTTAGTACAAGTTCGAGATCTAAATTCCATTGTTTATTTGAAGAGCTTTTCGCTTTGGTTACATCAGGAAGAAACAAGCTTTTAAAAAGTGTTGGTAGTAACCCAGAAAATTTAAAACAAGCGAATATGGTTATCAAATTTGAAACAGGTTCAACTTAAATGTTAATATGGTATTCGGATGCTGATATTATAAAGCCACGTAAAGCTATTAAACTACGAAACTTAATATTCTAAACATTTATTAGTAGAGATCTCAAAACTAAAGCTTCAGTATAACTGTTAGTTTGAGCTTCGCTTACCACAATACGTTTTGGATAATGGCTAAATGGCAGCTCATGTTACCAAGGCAGCTCATGTTACCAAGGCAGCTTATGTTACCAAGGTCATGAGGCGATTCTGCGTTGATTCTGAAAATTTCATGAAAAAAATATTGAAACCCTATTGAGTTCTATTGTTTTGAGCGAAGTCAGTTTTGCAAATATCGCGAACTGAGATATGGCGATTTTGTTCATTTTTTGCGATTATTTGAACAAAGAATCCACAGTTAGGTAGATGTTGAGCTGATAATCATATAAAATGTGTAGTTTAAGCTTACCTTTCATAAAAAGTTGGTTTCATTCAAAAATATTGATATTTGACCAATTTATGGGCCAAAATCGATCAAATTTAGTGCGTATACCCAAATATGGGTATATAGTTTTTTGCTCATAACTCAGTCATTTTTGTCCAATCTTAATAAAAATTCATATACTAGTTCAGAGGACCAAGAGCTACAAGAAGAGCACCTACAATCTGGGTTTTGGGCATATTTAGGGTATTTGGATAAATTGGGTCTAATTTGGACCAAATATGGGCGTGGCAGCCCCGTGGCACTGTTTGGCGGTTGGGGTCCGGGACCCCCTCAAAAGTTTAGTCACCGGGCCTAGATTGTTGGTCAACTGCTATCTCGAAACCAAGTTTCACAAAAAAATCAGGGTGAACCCCCCCCCC